CTTCACCCAGGCATTTGCACGTGCTGCTCCTTCTGTGGTCACCTGGTTCCGTCGTTCCTGAGGTGGCAGCTTATCCGTGTGAAGCTGGCTCTTGGCTTTCTCTCTCTGGATTGGATGGTTTATTCTGTTGGAATCGGGAGTCCACAGGGCTCATTTCCTCTCAAGGGAATATCTGGGGCCAACCCTTTGGCTTGTTCCTCAGGCCATGGCCAGTTTTAAGTGGGTTATAAGTGGGGAAGCCACATTTAGAGGAAGGGAAGCCCAAAAGAGCTCACAGCCGTGTAGACATTCAGACTCATGGACCTGGAGTTAGCCTGCTACACAACTCAGAGAGGTGCTACATCCTGTGTTTTCTTTAAAGGCTGCTTGAACTTCATGGTTTTCACTTGGTACAAGGCAAAGAGAGCTACTGGGGGAGTCAAGAAGGCACGCATGTGGTCTGGACAGCAGACAGTGTGGTTCTCATCTTCATTTTTGGTGTTTCGGCTTTTTTCTTGTTGTATTTATAAAAAGAACCCGACTACTTCAATTACTGAAGCCTGCATACTGGCTGGGGGAGGTAAAGGAGGAGGAGGAAGAGATGGCTCTCGCTCCTAGTGTATTGGGAAGTACGGCAGGTGTCAGTTGGTGGGTGGTGGGTGTCAGCTCGTGGGTGGTGGGTGATAAGAAGGGCCTCTCCAACCCAGGAGAGGTTTTTCCCAGGCTCGATGCCTGGCCACTTTCTCGTGGCTCCTGAGCCAGGTTACAAAAGATGGTGCCACACATGGTCTGGGCAGTTCCAAGAGCCTTGGAGACTCCAATACGGTGGTCCTGGATGGCACAGTGGACTTCCTGAAGAAGAAGATGCCTCACCAGTGACCCGGGTCAGCCTAGGGAAGACCCAAATGATGGAGGATCAGTTCCCCAAACTACCTGGCACTTGCGCTGCAGCAGAAGGGAAAACATCTGGGTGCTGCGAATGTCATTATATGTGGCCCTGAGTGAGATGCTGGAGAGATGGCTGCCATTATGTCTGACCTGGCTTGGGGTAGGGGTGCCAGGCCACAGGACCCGCTGCAGAGGACACAGTTGGATATGCCACCACCCAGACTCTCAAGGACTTGAAGTGATGCTGCACCTTGAGAGACCAGTGTCCATGAGGGAGGGAGAGAAGAAGGAGGGAGGGAGGGAGGAAAGGAGAGAGAGAGGAGAAGGAGGGAGGGAGGGAGGGAGCGAGGGAGGAGATCATGCCCCCACCCTGCAGGTCTGCTCTCTCATTCACCATTCAGTAAGCATTTAACAAGCGCCCACTCTCTGCCACACAGTTAGGCAGTGAGAATCCAGAAGTGAATAAACCAGTCCCTCCTCTCTGGATCCCAAAGTCTAGAAGAGAAAACAGATAAATAAACACATAATTGGAGCCTAGATAAGAGGTGCGACAATCAATGTACGAGGTACTGAGGAAGCCTGGGCTGAGACACAGGGGATGGAGGTCTGAGCTACTGGGCTCTGCTGGACTCAAAAGTCACCTCAACAGCTGCCCTAAGTGGCAAAAACGACCAGCAAGGAAGGAGGAGGCGGCTGTGGCAGCACTAATAATGTTCCTGGCCACGCGTGTCCATGGCTGATAGCGCGTGTGCTGTCCCAGTGTCTTCCCTCTGCACAGAGCTGTCTGATATGGGCAGTGAGGGAAAGTCAGCTACTTCTTAACTGAAAGATGTAAATAAACTTCCGGAATCTTACGGCAGCTACTCCAAGCCAATGGTCAGTAACCCAGCAACATGATTCTTGGAAGAGAATCAGAACTCCCGGGCGAAAGGGGAAGTGAGATTTGAAACATGAACAGGAGGAACTGGTCCTGGACCCAGAGAAGCCGGCAGCTTTGACTCAGACTCCAACTGCCCCAAGGGTCAGGGCTCCTGGGGCAGGAGGCAGCGGCTGCCGCCACCACCACCACCTCTGAGTGTGAGCCCAGCTGATGCTGTCTACCTTTCTCATATGTTCCAGGCACAGACACAAACACTCCCCCACAACATGGCTCCCCAGCAGCTGGCCAGAACATGCACTCTGCTGCAAAGGGAGTCGCCAACGGTTCACACACGGTGCTCCCCGCATAGAAGAGGGGACTGTGATTAGGATGGTGGCAGCCTGCAAAAAAGAAAGCACAGTAGCCAGACCCTGAGCAGGAGCTGGGAAGAAAGACAACTTCTGACCTGGGGGAATCAGTACTTCATCTCCAGCTGCACCTGTGTGAAGTGTAACTAACTCTGCAGCCCTGGGCCTGGGGGAGAAGTGGCACTCAGAATGCCCAAGAACTGTCCCCCAGGAAGGTCAATGTCCCAGGGATACCAGGACACAGAGAGATTCTTCCTTAGACCTGGCTCCAGGTATTGAAGAAAGACAACAGGCCCCAAAGTGATTCATTCACCTTTGAATAGTTCAGAGGCAGAAATATGTTCTCCTTTAGAGGAGAAAGATTAAGGAACAGAGAGATACACTGGCTAAGGGTCACACAGTAAGTTGGTGCTAGAAAGAAGCTGGGCCTCTTGTCCTTCAGTATGCTATTTCTAGAGCTTCTGACTTTTTATGAGTCTAAAGAGGGCCAAGAAGGGGCTCTACTCTAATTTTGGGTGGTGTCAGTTTGGCTAGCCTGGTCCTCTGACCTTGAATGAAGCATTTTTGCCAAGGTAAATTGGTCAATGGAGCCAAATTATCTCCCTGGCTTCGACCTCCCAAAGCCATTTGTCTGGGGGATGGGAAGGGGAAGGGAGTCCAAACAAAATGATCACGAACACAAGTGAAACAGATGTACCCAGCTGTTGTCGCTGGGGACCTCAGATAAGGGAAGTGCCAAAGGCTCCAAAGGCAAACACGACATCTTGGCTGATGGAGGAAGTTAGAATGAGCACCTGAGATCCCTGGGATGCCAGCGCTGGCTCTGAGTCCTCCAGGCTGCCAGGCCACTGGCTGGCACACTCAGTGAGCAGGCAGGAGGGTTCGCTGGTACTTGGCTTTAGGTAGAGTTCCCCTTAGCACATCCCCCACCCCTGGCAGAGTGCGGTGAGGGATTTTCTTCTGTTCTTCCCTAACCTCAGCTGAAGCAGAACCTAGGCCATGGGGACTTGGACTGACTGGTGAATACTGCCGACATGCCAGCTACAGTAGCAGCCACGTAAGCCAAGCACTTCCCCTAGACACAGTGTGGTTCAGTAGGAAGATCACCAGGCCGCGCCTGCTAACCAGCTGCTGGACCTTGGACAAAACAGTGACTATCTCTCTGCTTTAGCTTTCTCATACAGAAAATGTGGGTGCTGAGCAAGATGTCTTCTAAAATTCTTTTGAGGGTTGTGGTAGCTCAGTGGCAGAATTCTCACCTTCCAAGTAGGAGGCCCAGGTTCGATTCCTGGCCAGTGCACTCATGCGCAGCCCCCACCCGTCTGTCAGTGTAGGCTCGTGTGTTGTATGATGCTGAACAGGTTTCAGTAGAGCTTCCAGACTAAGACGGACTAGGAAGAAAGGCCTGGTGATCTACTTCTGAAAATCAGCCAATGAAAACCCTATGGATCATAATGGTCCAATCTGCAACCGATCATGGGGATGGCACAGGACTGGGGAGTATTTTGTTCCGTTGTGCATGGGGTCACTATGAGTTGGGAGGCAATTTGATGGCAGCTTACACAAAATTCTTTCCAGTTCTAAAACTGAGAATTTGATAGGAGCTCAAACTTCATTCTTCCCCAGGGTACGACGGCTGAGAGTGAGCTGTCATTGCCACCCTCCCAGATTCCCTCATTTGTCCCAACAAGCTAGCACTTATGTTCTTTGTGTCTGTACTTCACATCAGGGTCCTTATGAAACCTTTCCAGCTACGAGCTTAGCTGTCTCGTCTGCTCCCTCTCCCAGGAAACATATTTCAGACTCACAATCCTCCCTCCTGCAGGTCTGACCTTTAGGTCTCAGGCAGAGGTGGGCAAAGACCACCAGCTCCCAGAACAGCAGCTCTGGTGCAGTAGGAGATGAAAGAGAAAAAGGGGATGGGGGAAGGACCCCGCTGTATTCTCAAACCCGGGGGAGACCAAGGGATCTCCAGAAGGGAAATAGGATTGAGCTAGCTTTTCATGATTCGGTCTGGTCTCGGAATTCTCACCTCCAGCAGTTTTTCTGTCATTCTGATCATACTGGCCTTGATTTTATGGAGGGAAAACAGGCCTACAAAGGTGAACATATTTGCTCAGGTCAGTCAACAATTAATGGCAGAGTAGGGATGAGAATCCAGTCTCCTGAGTCCCTGTTCAATACGCTCTCCACTTTTCCATACCCAGGGATAAGATTCAGAAAAGACCCCTGGCCTTCCTGCTCAACACAGGGTCCTATTTCAAGAAGCTGAAGACTGTCAGGCCCCAGGAGTCGGAGTGTGGTCCTGAGGAAGGTGGGGCAAAGTTTGGGGCAGGGCTGGGAGAGATATCTGCACCTGGAGGCCATTTCTGCCCTTTCTCCAGCCTTTGGGTGGGGGGAGGGGGGAGAAAGGAGGGCAACACAGGCCTGCAGAAGAGATGAAGCCCCTAAACCCATCCTCTCTGTGGGAAGGGGGTTAGTGTGGAGGTTTGGGTTTTTCCCCTTCCTCCATTCCCAGCAGGCCTCCAGCCCCAGGCCTGAAAGTCTCCCCATCATGAATCTGCCTGTGGGTCCGCCTTGGGCCAACAGGAAAACCTGCTCCTCTCACAAACCCACCTTTCTGGCCAGCCACGGACCCTCATGGATGGCCAGATAATACGCATAAGTCTTTACTGAATCCTCCTACATATCCCTCAAGGCCCCCTCCAGACACGGCGACACTGTGGTGTCCCACCAGCCATAAATTATCCCAAAGTGTTGTCAGCCCAGAAAACTAGGCAGCGCGGCTCCCCACGCTCGCCAGGAACCGGCATCCCGGGACTCCCCCTTCGCAGCCCGCGGCGGGCAGCTCTCTGCCCCCTCGCGGGTGCCCTGTCGCCCAAGTGCCCCCGACCCCCAGGACTCACCCAGAAGAGCATATTGAAGAAGAAGAGCAGATATTTCACCAGCGGGTTGACGAAAGAGAAGTCCTCGCCATAGACGGCCGTCGCGCCGCGTCTCCGGGCCATGGCCCCGCCGCCGCCGCCGCCGGGGGCCTAGCTCTCAGCGGCGCCGGCCCACCTGCGTGCCC